GTGTTAGCAGGTGAGGTCCCTTTTCACACGAAGTTGTTGCAGTTCTGCTTTTCTGTTTGTGTAATCTGAGCAGTAAGGGGGGGAGTAGAAGAGCATTTGCCATCAAAACCAATCCCATTTGTTAGCCTAGGTCAGGGGTAGGCAACCTTTCCCCTTTAAGGGCCGAGGGACTTCAGCTCCCAGAATCCCAGGAACTATTGGCCAACATGGGACTATTGGCCAACATGGCTGAGGCTTCTGGGAGCTGAAGTCCCTCGGCCCTTAAAGGGGAAAGGTTGCCTACCCCTGGCCTAGGTCATACCATTGTAGAGTGCATCTTTTCGTTGATGAGGAAAACCTGTCAATAAGCTCCAAATCATGCTGTTGTGCTATTAGTCCTCAGGTGTGATAAGTTCCTTGCACAGTAATTTTAACACAGAGTAGTCATGTGGTGTCACTCTCCTTCTCTCCCCACTCCCCTTTGCTATACCTGAGAAGGCTGGTTTTCTTTCTCTGTCTCCACTTTCCCCCCTTTTCTTTGATCTTTGTTTCACTAGATCACATTGCGATAATTGCTAAATTGCATTACAAACAAACAAACCCCAAAAAGGCATACTGGGTAGGGTATAGGGCAGGGAGGCAAGGTTAAGGGGGAGCATGGTACAGAATGCAAGGGACTATCGATGGCAGAAACGGCCCCTGTCATGCTAGTGAAGGGATGTGCAATAAGGAAAGCTCCCAAACCAGCTAGTATCAGTTTATTTTTACTAATGTGATGACGGCGAGCATGAGGTTCATCTGATAAAAATCCTAGGGGAGATCCGGGTTCCAATCCCCCCTCAGCCATGGAAACCCAGTGGGTGACCTTGGACAAGTCACACTCTCTCCATCTCAGAGAAGGCAATGGCAAACCTCCTCTCAAGATGTCTTGCTGAGAAAACCCCATGATAGGTTCACCGTAAATCAGAAACAGCTTGAAGGCACACAACAAGTCTCCTTCTTTGGGGGTCTTTAAACAGAGGCTGGATGGCCATCTGTGGAGGATGCTTTGATTTTGAGTTCCTGCATGGCAGGGGGTTGGACTGGATGGCCTTTGTGGTCTCTTCCAACTCTATGATTCTATGATTCTATGAACAACAATAACTTAAATACATTCAAATAAAGGTAATCCACCCCAGTGGTGTCACTAGGGGGCTGCTGGGAATTCAGACCACACTAGGTGACACCAGAGAAGGGGGAGTCACCCAGTTGGACCCTCCTCTGCTGTGTGTGTGGGTGCTGTACTGCTGTTGGCGCCTGTCCCTTCTTTGGTCCCTTGGGTCTCTTGGCCGAGGGAGAAAAGCGGTAGAGTAGAAGGAGCAAGTGCACATGCTCATCTGTCCCCTCACCTTCCCTGTTGTGTTGGCTAGTTCAAATGAGCTAGCCTACACAACGGGGAAGGAGGGCGACCCCCCACATCTTCCCCGTTGCAATGGATAGCTCATGGATAGTCTCTGCAGGTGGCTGGGGGGCAGGCCAGGCCACTACCACTGCTCCCCGTTGCACCCGCACCGGGTGACACCAACCCTAGGAATGCCACTGATCCAGCTTTGTAGAAATACACTCCTACAGTATTCTTTAAACGAAAGCTGTTGACGTTCTTTCATAACTGAATATGTCATAAAAACTCAATATGAAAAGAGTGTCTATTCTCAGCCTGGTGATGGCAGAGTATAATCTCTACCAGTATAGAAAAGGTGGGGGTGAAGGTGTGATGGCTGCTGTTTTGGAACAATGAGTGCTGGTGTTCTAGCATTTCCCTTCTATAAACAGGAAAGTTGAGTCTATTGGTTACGGCCCTTACCACATTCCAACCTCACCTTGCCAAATTCCCAGTGGGAAGATGCCCTCCAAGCATTGCATCTGCTCTGTTGAAACATCAAGGGAGACACTCCTGTGCAGGTGAGGAGTAATACGCCACACCCCTGGCAGCCTGGGAAACCCAACCCTTTATCCCAATAGCAAGGATATAAAATGTCCTCTTAAGAATTTCAAGAGCCATTTGATTCTGTACAGAACCTTTCCTGAAATACGTGAAGTGGGATCCTGATTGTGCTGAAACCAAGAAGATGAAGTTTGGCTTGGGCAGGATGCCTGCCAGGATGAAATTTGCCTCCATCTTCGCTGTGATGTTGCTTCTTCCAGGTAGGTTGTTAATCAGAAACATAAACAAGACTGAACCACCCTGAAAAACAAGGGCATTTATTGTAGAAAATGTAGAACCTGACCTAATAATAGATTGCTGACAAATATAGCAAATGTTTCATAAAATTGGTATGATAAAACTCTCTTGCGGGAAAAAAGCAATAACTCAGTGTAAAATCAGTGTAAAATTGACTTGCATAGAACTGGCTGATGATTTTTATGGTTGAGCAAATATTTTGGGGGGAACAGACATGTCAACTGGGACTTTCTGGGAATTATAGCCCAAAAAGTAACTTTCCTAAGTTCTGATATAGACATGGAAATTTCATTTCAACACCACTACGCAGAAATAAGTTAACAACTACAAATCAAGACAAAATTTCTGTCAATTTTTGTAAAAGGTGATAATTAAAACTTTACGATACCCCCCTCATATTCTCTGTAGCAGTACTTTTTTTGTCCATTCTGAATTTGCTTCTAGTTTTTTTCATTGTGTGAGCCATGGATCTAGCAAAGAGTTGTGAGATCAAGGATCTTGGCAAATTTATTTGGATTGTACATGTAAACAAATTGGATTAACTCAAACTGCCTGAAATAATATACGGAGTAGAATATAGTTATCTCTCAGACTGCAAACATCTTGTGTTGTTGTGATGTCATTCTCTGCACACAAAAAAGTGTATTTTACAGAGAAATGCATATTTCAGGATCAAAGGTGTAAAAGTCAGGGAGACCAGATGTCCAAACCCCAAAGGAGGAGAAGGCACTGCAAAATGTAGGATTTTCAATAAAAATGTAGGACATGACAACATAAAAGCTAAAAACACTCACAGGAATTTAAATTCATGCTTCTTAGGCATGCTTAAAATGGAGGACGTTTTGGGATTCCTCCTGGACAGAAGGCTGACATGTAGGTCATGTCCTGGTAATAATGCATGCTTTTTTGAGGAAACACATATAAAAGAGAATATTTTAAAGAATGTTCATACATTCAAAACATAAGAGAAAATGGAATGGGAGAGATGTATAAGTCACTTACAAAAGTGACACAGGCCAGAAACAGACTGATATAGCCATTCCCATGTAAGATACGAGATTATTCAGATAAATTACAAAACTGAAAGGTAGAACAGGGCACAATGTGAATTGAAGGAAATTCCTGTGGAAAGGGTACAAAAATATTTCTCAAAGGGAAATTACCGGTAGTGCTTATTTGGGGCTGGAATGATTCTGGCAAGTGGCATCAGGAGGCCGATATAAGTAGAAATAATGCAGTTTGACACCACTGCTGTAGCTCTATCCTACGGAATTCTCTGATTTGTAGTTTTACAAAGTCTTTAGGTTTCTTTGCCAAAAATGTGCTGGTGCTTCACAAAATTACAAATCCCAGGATTGTGTAGGATGGAGCCATGGCAATTAAAATGGTGTCAAGCTGCATTATTTCTACAGTGTAGATAGATGTACGCTAGGAAGAATAGGATAACCATGTCATAATAAAGCGAGATGAGTGGCTATTTATCCCACAAGGCAGGATACAAGCTTTTCCTGTATTTCTAGAATGTAATGGAAGAGATGGGTTAGAACGAGGTGGGCAATGTGTCACTTGGAGGGCACATGAGATCCCAGTGCTCTTCTTTGTGCCATACCATCCTCAATGTCCTCTGGGCAAAAATAAATACTAGATAGATAGACAGATAGACAGATAGATAGATAGATAAAAAGGGGTACTAAAATGAAGCATTTCTACTCCTGGGCTATCAGTTTGACCTTCAGTTGGTTGCAGGACCCTCACACCTAAAATTTTCCCCAATGACCAAAAGCAAAATTGGAAGTGGTCCTCTGATCTATTTCCAGTTTTGAATTCTTCCTCAGTTTATTTAACTGGTGCAAAATGAGTTCAAAATGCAAAAGTAGTTTGCATTCAATGAAGTCAGTGTGAGAGAGGAGAAATTAGGGGGTTGGGATGTGGGGGTTTGTCCTTGCCAGTTGGCTCAGGCAAAAGTAAACAGCTGCAGAAATAATCCATGTTGACACCACTTTAATAGACATGACTCCATCTTATAGAATTCTGGGATTTATAGTTCATTGTGGCACCAGAGCTCTCTGACAGAGAAGACTAAATGTCTGACAATACTGCAAATCCCAGAATCCCATAGCATTAGTAACTTTTGCTATCTTGAGCACTCTCCAATGTTATTTGGCCCCACGGATCCCAGTTTTCCATCTGTGAAAAGGTTGGGAGGTATGTATTACCAGTGCAAAATAATATTCAAATGCTAGTCTGGTCAGCTTCTATACATGAATTGGAAGGGGGTGCCACCTTGTTTCTTCCCTCAAGCAACAAGACAACATGACATGGTGGGTTGACATTTCCCAAGTCTGGACCACATGATTTGACTGTGGACTGTAATTATTTCTTAGGCGATACTAATCTCATTAATCTCTCAGCCCTCCTGTATTGAGGTGAACACATGCTAAAGGTGACAAACAACTTAATTGGTTTTAGGGTGGAGCACAATTGTTTTGCAAGTGAGACTTACAATTAAAATTGTTTGCAGCAACATTGCAGGTTGAGTGTCACTTTTCTAGAATTCCGAAATCCAAAATATTCCCAAAGCCAAAACTGTTTTTCATGGGTGACTGAGATAGTGACACTTTCACTTTCTGATGGTTCAGTACAGTCACTCCTCCATATCCCCAGATTCTTATAGAAGGGACACCATTTTACTATTTTACTACCCCATTGTCCTTTCTTGGCAAGTTTCTTCAGAGGGATTTTTGATATTGCCATCCTCTGAGGTTGAGAGACTTGCCGAAGGTCACTCAGTGGGGTTTCATGGCTGAATAGGGACTTGAACCCTGTTTTTCAGAGTCATAGTCCAATGCTCAAACCACTACACTACACTGGCTACTGAATCAGTAAAGATAAGAAGCAGGACCATTCCATCAATTCAGCTGAGAACCTCAAAGATCTGGGCTCTTGCTCTCTTGCTGTTTCTGTTTCAACCATTCTTTGGCTACTATTATAGCCATTTCACCATTACATCTGTGACTGTAAGAACCTTTATAAGGTTAGTGTGCCAGCATGGGAATTAAGAATGTCCCACTGGGACCTGGGAGACTGAGGAGCCCTTTCACACTACACAGTTGTAGCACTATGATTTCATTTTATCTGCCCTGGTTGGAGCCTGTGGAATCATTGTACTTTGGTGAGGCAGTAGTGAGTCAATGTGGTGTAGTGGTTTGTGCATTGCACTAGGACTCTGGATACCAGGATTCAAATCCTGGTTCAGCCATAGAAACCCACTGGGTGACCTTAGGCAAATCACACGTTCTCAACCTCAGAGGATGGCAATGGCAATGGCAAACCCTTTCTGAAGAAACTTGCCAAGAAAACCCCATGATAGGTTTGCCTTAGGGTCACCATACGTCGAAACAAACTTGAAGGCACACAACAACAACAACAACAACAACAACAACAACAACACCACACTAGATCTCTTTAGCTGAAAATTCTAAATAGCCCTCCTTCAGCCAAAATCCCAGGATTCTATAGGATGGAGCCATGGTGGTTAAAGTGGAATTGCAGTGGTATAATTGTGTAATCTGAACAATCCCAGGTTCTAGTCTTCATTGAGCCAACAAGATAACTGGGTGACTTTGGGCCTGTCACTTTTTCTCATCCCAGCTTATCTCATAGGACACAGTACTTTGGAGGTTTGTTATGTACACCATCTTGAACTCATTGAAGGAAAAATGGGGTATGGCTATAACTGTGTGCATGTGTGTTCAAATTAGGATTTTCTTAGGCAATGAATACTCAGAGATGGATATGCCAGTTTCTTTCTCTGAAATCTAGCTTACAGCTCCGGATATTTGTTAACAGTTTTTCATCCAAGTACTAAGCAGAAATGACCCTACTTAGCTTCCAAGATCTTAGCTTCCAAGAGCTTCCAATTGGCAAAGGAATCAGGCAAGGAATTCCAAAAGAAAATCAGCATGTGCTTTGACTGCATAAATCACAAAAAGCTATGGAATGCTCTTTAAGACATGGGAGCGTCACTACATTTGATAGTTCTGCTGAGAAACCTATTCTCAGGACAAGAGACCACTGTCAGAACAGAATATGGAGAAACAGAATGGTTCCCAATTGGCATTCAACTGATACACAGCCTTCAGGGTATTTAGGTCTTATGGCTACTTAATGCCATTAAGAATTAGTGCCTGAGTTTTCTCCCCCCATATAACTTTTGCATTCATGAAACCAAGAACAGAGAATACATGGTCTTAAAAAACTTGAGATGTGAGCAAGTAAATGTGATGAAAATACTTTTGATAAGTTAAATAATTTAATGTAATTTAAAAAAATAGATATATAGGTAAATAACATGTTAACATTCTTCTCTCTCTTGGGGGCACATTTGCTGCAATGCCATCAGCCAAAGTAAGGCATTACTTACCGTATATACCAATTAAAAAAATAAATCAGATGCTTTACATCACTGTCCACATGCCACCTCACCACACCTGATATTTTTGTTTTAATTGGTGGACATAAGACCTGTGAAACCCTGTTGATAAATTACCATTTACTATTAGAATCCCTGGCTGCAACTGAACCTAAAGTACAAAGTAGGCTGATAAAAGATAATGGCCTAAAGCCTATTCTTGTTTCAACTAGAGCTTGTTGTAGTTGTTAACTGCACTTGAGCTTACAATGACGCACAGCAGCCATGTGCATGAGACATTTCAAGACCCCCTGTCCCCCACTGCTTTGCTTAGATCTAGCCATCTGGCATGCAGTCTTCCTCTCTTTCTGTTGCCTTCTTCCTTCCCTAGCATTATTGTCTTTTCTAGTGAGTTGTACCTTCTCAGGATGTGGCCAAAGTACAACAGCCTTAGTTTCATCATCTTGGCTTCCATGAAGAGTTCAGGCTTGATTTAATCAAGAACCATTTGTTTGTCTTTTTGTCTGTCCATGGGATCCCCAGCACTCTTCTCCAGCACCACATTTCAAATGAATTTCTTTTCTTTTTGTTCGCTTTCTTCATTGTCCAGCTCTTATATCCATCCATGGTGATGGGGAATATAATGGCTTGGACAATTCTGACATTAGTGCTTTATTATATATTTTTACACTTTAGGATCATGTCTAGTTCTTTCATGGCTGCCCTTTCAATTCCTAGGTTTTTTTTTTTTAATTTTCTTATTTCTTGACTGCAATCTCCATTCTTATCAATGTTTGATCCAAGAGATGGAGCACACCAAAGAATTCCAAAAGAAAATCAGTATGTGCTTTCACTGCATAGATCACAAAAAGCTATGGAATGCTCTTTAAGACATGGGAGCGTCACTACATTTGATAGTTTTGCTGAGAAACCTATTCTCAGAACAGAATATGGAGAAACAGAATGGTTCCCAATTGGCAAAGGAATGAGGCAAGGCTGTATATTATCACCATACTTGTTCAACCTATACACAGAAAATGTCATACGAAGATCAGGGTTAGGCTTAGAAGAAGGATGAGTGACAATAGGAGGATGATATGCAGATGACACCATCCACATATCTTCAACAATCATTCTAAGATATGCGGATGACACCATACTACTAGTGGAAAACATCACAGACTATAGACTTTATCACACAGGAGGCAATCCCATGAATAAAGCTCATTTAATTCCAAAAATATCCTGCAAGAGCGGGATCACTTTCAGAAAACATCCCTGACATCGGCATTATCCCGCAATTAACCCGTGAATAAAGCAGCAAAATCCCACTGCTTTTTATTTTCAGGATTTTCCTGTGAATAAAAAGTGGTGGGATTTTGCTGCTTTATTCATGGGTTAATTGTGGGATAATGGTGACATTGGGGCCGTCATCTGAAAATCACCCCACTCTTGTGGGATATTTTCGGGATTAAATGTGCTTTATACATGGGAGGAGGATGCTTGTGTCCCCTGTGATAAAGTCGTTGGAACAATTACTAAAGAGGGTCAAGGAAGAAAGTGCAAAGGCAGACTTGCTGCTGAACATGAAGAAAACAAAAATAATGAGCACAGAGGACATATGTAAATTCAAATTAGACAATGAAGAAACTGAAATAGTTAAAGATTCCCTTGGATCCAACAGAGTTCAGAATGGAGACTACTGTCAAGAGACAAGAAGAAGACTAGGAATGTGAAGGGCAGCCATTAAAGAGCTGTTCTAAGTATACATTTTTCATCAGGACTATCAAATGTAGTGGCACTCTCATGTCTTAAAGAGAGTTCCATAGTTTTCATCATCTATGCAGTAAAAAGCCATGCTGTGTATAGTCTATAAAGCATATGCAGAGTATCAGTTAGATTTAGAAAGTATCCACACTGTAGAATTAAAGCAATTTGACACCACTTTAAATGTGGAATCTTGGGTCTTGTAGTTAGCCTAGTCAGTTGGAGAGCTCTGTTGCCTCTCCAAACTACAAATCCTAGGTTTCTGTAGGACAGAATCATTACAAAGTGGTGTCAACCTGCCTCAATTCTGCAGTGTGGATATATGCAATCTTGACACGATATGTTACTATATCTTGACATATGCAACAGTTAATTCAATGGGTCCATTCTAACTGGGTCTAGCAACAGGATTCCAGCCAATATATTTGGTTCAACTAGAGATAAATATATTTTCAATGTCTTCTCAGTTTAGAGCTGTGTTTAATAAACCTGTTTGTAATACCTCATTCCTCAGTGTTCTCCAAACGAGTGCCCTCCAGATATGGTAGACTATAAAGTCTTTTGGAAAAAAAATATTTTAAGTGACATGTCTGTGAGTAGCTAGCAAAATATTGAAAACATGGTTCACTGTTTGTTTTATTGACTTCTGTATAATACTTCTTTCATTAGTTCTCCTTCCCAGTATGTTACTCTAGGATTTTGATCAAAACATGACTGATTATTCAAAATATGTTATTGGGAAGAGATCCTGTTTACAGTAGCAGTATACAAAAGAGGAATTTGGTGATCCTTTACCCTGAATTAAGGCTTTGTAAATTATCTGGTATTAATATTATACACACACAAACACACACAGTTGCCCCTCCTTTTTCATGGGGGATCTATTCCGGCCCCCTTGCAAAAAAGGAAAAACTCAAATATTCAAGCCCTATTGGCTTGAATGGAGGTGTGTGTCAATGGGGGCGAGAGAGCATGCGCCACGAGGGACACTGTTTGTCCCTCGTGGATAACTGAAGGTCGTGGAGTTCAAGTCCATGAAAACAGAGGGACAACTGTGTATATATGTGTGTGTGTGTGTGTGTGTGTGTGTGTGTGTGTGTATTTGGGGTTAAATTAATTTGCTCAGTTCATGTTAAATGTGTAAGTTTTTCTGCCTGTATGGACAACTGTGGGTCTCCCAATATTGTTGAAACATCCTTGACCATTGGCTGTGCTGGCTGTGGCTGATGGGAATTGGAGTCCAACAGCCCATGGATAACCACAGGTTGCAAACCACTGTCAGTGAGAACTGTACTAAGATTTAGGTGTGTTCTCTTGTCCTCATTGCTATTCCTTTTCTGTATATAATTTCAGATATTAAATAATTTCAGAAATTCAACAGGTGAAATTTGGGCTGCACCATGGAGATAGTGATGAGGAAAATTCTCTCTTGAATTTGTCCTATAATTTGGGGATCATGCTCATTTCTCTTTAACTCCCATGTGATATGCAAACATCATATGTTTCCTTCACAGCAAGGAAGGGCACCTCTGTGATATGCACACAGTTTGTGCCAGGAAAAATTGCGGCAACAGCATGGAGGATTATACAACACTGTTGCTCAAAGAGAACAAGGTAGCAGAGTCTTGGTGGCAGCTTGATTTAGTAAACTGGGATATTGTTTTAATTCCATCTCATTTCCTAAAGAGCCTTCT